TTTAGTTAACACTCGAAGGTGATTGGGCTCTCGGGCGAGATCCCAATTCGTCAGTCACGACTGACGTAACGTCTCCGTTCCCTCCTTCAGGGAACGAGGGTTACACAAGTAACCGAGACGTTATCCACATACATACAGTACACCCATGTAAAGCGATATATACTGTACTATATATAGCAAATCTCAACTGCATTTTTTATATTTGGTCGCAAAATGTAACTATGTTATCGCCCAGCTCTTTATATAAAGTTGGATATATACCCAGAATGTACAGTATTAAAATGCTATATATAATTATGTTTTAAAACATTTCTTGGTTATACGAATATGAAGGGAACATTACATTTTGAGAACATTATTAAAGACCAGATGACTTTGAACAATCTATTGACATCACTGGAAGAACATTGTTCAAAACTTTGAGATAACATTGCCAGAATGTTAGCCAAAGTTCTGAGAACGTTCCCTGTTAGCTTATAAAAGCTGGAATAAACTACACGACTTTTAAAACCTGAACAGATTTTAAAATGCTAAAATCACTAAAATGCTAAAAACACTCAACACTAAAATCTGGGCAAAATTTGTGTGGTGAATTCCTTAAGTATTTTCAACTTTATCCGCGTACATACAGTATCACATAACTGATAAACAATATAGCGAATCTCAGCTGCTTGCATGCTTGTATCGTCGCTGTCACGATCATGGACTTTTAGTTTGTTGCTTTTCCTCTTGTTTTCCTGTTTTGATCTAGTTTTCCCTCGTGTCTGATTAGTTCATTTTGTTCACCTGTGTCTAGGTTATTATCTTAATTTGCCTGTTTATTTAAGTACCTGTCTGTTCAGTTATTGTTTGTCGGATCTTGTCTATGTTTTCACGTGTGCTAAGCCTTCCTCTTGTGGATTTACCTTCTGTGTGGAATATTAAAGATAATTTTACCTTCATCATCTTCGTGAGTGTTTTGAGTGCACCTGAGTGTGACAGAAGATCCGACCAAACAGGAAGTTAAGCGGCGCGTTTCCCCTCGTTTGTTTTCTTGTTTTTGAAAGTCTTTTATTTTGTTTATGGATCACCCCGAATTCCTCTTCCTCCTGCTGGAGCAGGGGGAACTTGTCCTCGAGGACCACACCAGACCAATACCAACTACCCGGAAGATGCTCTCTGCTCGTTCTACATAGCAAGCCTCAACATCGCGTGCAGAGCTCGGTTGTCCGGAGACAGTCCTCAACTCACCAGCCCCACTCCGGAGCCAGAGTCCAGCCAAATACCACCCCACTGCACGGAGCAACAGCCAGAGCCCACCGCGACCGACGAGCCATCACCTAATGGTGCGACAGAGCTGAGGATCGCCCCGGAGCCAGAGCCTTATGGAACATCTGACCAGGTGCGTGAGCCGGCAACAATGCCCGCCAAGGAGGATTGTACAGTGGAGAGCAAAGGTGTGGAGGAAAGCACTGCCCACTGTGCCACCGCTGAGGGTGAGCTGAGGAAGGACTCAGGGGATTTAATAGACTTTTATTCAGAACTACCCAGTCTTCCGTCATCATCTGAAATCTCTGCCTGTCCTTTTATGGCCATGGAGGCCATTTATGAACTGTTTGTCTGCTCTGAACTGTCTGCCTGTCCTATCACGACCATGGATGTCGTTCCCGAACTGTTTGTCTGTCTGAACTGTCTATCTGCCCTGAACAGTCTGCCTGTCCTGTCTCGACCATGGAGGTCGTTCCCCTATCTCTGGTGCTCCCAGTGCAGGGAGTGGCCATCTGGTGTGTGTGGGCAGCACACACCTTCCCTGAACCCCCGTACTGCTCAAAACTCCCACCCAGACTCCCTCTTCCACCACATCTTCATCAGTCCTCACCACCACCTCTGCTGTCCCCTGTCAGCCCCTCTGCTCACCCTCAGCCCACCATCAATGATGTGGGTTCGCCGTGGGTCTGCCAGTCTCTATCGGCATTGAGGCTGGAAAATCCCTTGTCTCCGCCTCCAGCCTCCGAGTCCCAGACTCCGCCTCGGCCCGTCGACCCAGCGGCTCCACCGTGGATCCTAGCTCCCTCCTCTCCGCCGTGGCCCGTCAGTCCACCATCTCCGCTGGGCTCCCTCGTCCCTCCGGCTCCACCTTGGTCAGTCGTCAACCTGCCATTGCCTCAGGACTCCACTCCTCTGGCTGCGCCTCGTCGATCCGTCCCACCGGCTCCACTTGGCTCTTCCCTCCCTCTAGCTCCACCTTGGTCCTCTGTCGCTCCACCGCGGCCTTCCGGATCCCCACCTACGCCTCGGTCGCCTGAGCCATCTGCTCAGCCTTGGCCCTCCGGATCTTCCCCGTCGCCCTGGCTTGTCGGCTCTCCGTCTCTGCTCCGGGCTCCTCTCCCACCTGCTCCGCCACTGTCGGTCTGCCCCCTGGAGTCGTCAGCCATTCCTCCACCATGTCTCCTTCCTCCATCGGCTCCACCGTGGGCCGTCATGTTGACTGCGGTCTGGGTCCCGCCTGGCTCCTCCTGCTCCAAGTCCCTTCTGTCTCCATCCTAGCTCCTCCCTCCGTCTGATCCGCCCTGGCTCCTCCTGCCTCCATCCTGGCTCCTCCCTCCATCTGATCTGCCATGGTTCCTCCCTCTGTCGTCGCCACCATGGTCATCCACTTGCCTGCCTTCCTGCCCTTCGCCATCCCCTGTTACCATCCCAACTCCGCCACTTTGTCCTCCTCCTATGTCCCCTCTGTCCCTCCTTTGTTTTTGTTATGGCGCGAAGTCGCGCCTGGCCGGAGGGGGGAGTACTGTCACGATCATGGACTTTTAGTTTGTCTTTCCTCTTGTTTTCCTGTTTTGACCTAGTTTCCCCTCCTCTGATTAGTTCATTCTGTTCATCTGTGTCTAGGTTATTATCTTAATTTGCCTGTGTATTTAAGTTCCTGTCTGTTCAGTTAGTGTTTGTCGGATCTCGTCTATGTTTTCCCATGTGCTAAGCCTTCCTCTTGTGGATTTACCTTCTGTGTGGAATATTAAAGATAACTTTACCTTCATCTTCGTGAGTGTTTTGAGTGCACCTGAGTGCGACAGTCGCTAAATACAAACTATATTACTGTCCAGCTCCAATCTGCTAAATGCGACTTGACAAACATCATATAAACAATATGATGTTTAAACAAACATCATGATTTTCTGTATAGCTGCTTTGAAAAAAATTTGTTTTGTGAAAAGCACTATACAAATAAAACTGACTTGACTTAAATTGACATACATCTGAACAGTCTTTTGGAAGCCATCTGACATCCATCTAAAGCCTCGTTCTCATCTACAGTTTCTTCTTTTCCACAGTGACCTCATAAAGGGAGTGCTTTCTCATTGAAAATGATGATGCATAAGGTAATTAAAAGCAATTGTTTTCATATCATATATGTTTTAAGCAGATTTCTTTTTATAAAAAATAAGATAATACATGATCATAAAACAAATAAAAAGGTTAATGTGATGTTTGACCTTTGATCTGTGTATGTATGTGAACAGCAATCGGCCCGTACCTCCCCAGGCAGCGTTTGTTCTCTGCATGGAGGAGGTGTTCCTGGATCCTCGGCGGTCACTATAGTGGTGTGTATAGCAAAAGTGCATGCTGGGATATGATTACCGCATCAGATTACACATGGCCCATGACTAACTGTAATAATAATTCTGTCTCAAAATTGCAACGCTGTGCCAGAAAACAAATGTATTGCTTTCAGAGAAATACATTTACTTCTTCATAGTATGTCTCTGAGATTGCCAATCATTTTTTCAATTTCTTTCATATTTTGGATTAATACAGGCCAAAATGGACAATCAAGTGATTGGGTATAAGGACCTAGCAGCTATACCTAAAGACAAGGCCATTCTTGACATAGAGAGGCCTGACCTGATGATGTATGAGCCCCACTTCAGCTATTCACCAATGGAGGTAATACACTGTATATTCAGTATATATACTGTTCAAAAGTTTGCGGTCAGTAAGATTTTTTAAAAAGAAATTATTACTTTTGTTCAGCAAGGATGCATTAAATTGGTTCAAATAAATGTTGTTCTTTTGAACTTTCTATTAATCAAAGAATCCTCAAAAAACGTAACATGGTTTACACAAAACATTTAGCAGCACCATTGTTTTCAACATTAATAATAAGAAGAAATGTTTCTTGAGCAGCAAATCAGCATATTAGAATGATTTCTGAAGGATCATGACAATATTACTGTTTTTACTGGATTTTTGATCAAATAAATGCAGCCTTGGTGAGTATGATAGTCTTTCAAAAATATCCAAACATCTTACCAAGCCCAAACTTTTGAATGGTAGTGTTGTCTGGATATTTGGTGATGAGATCTGACAGTCTATTTTGGCCATTGTCTCAAAGACTCAAAGCTGTTGATTTGTCAGACTTTCATTCTGTAACACACTCTGTCTGTCAGCGTGTGTGATGTGTTCACTGGTTAGTTTCCTGCTGGGTGTGATGTCTCACCATCAGAGCGCCTGGCTCGAAATCAGCATACACACACACACATACACACACACACACCATGTTAGATTGGCTCTCCCACTGTAATTTCCTTTTTTTTGTTTCGCTGTAATGGAAGCTTTACGATTCATTAAGTCTTTTAAACCTGTCTGTCGAAATGTCTGGATATTTCACTTACTGCCAACAACTGACCTCTCTCTCTCTCTCTCTCTCTCTCTCTCTCTCTTTCTTTTTCTTTCTCTAGAGGTCATTATCTCCTCGTTCAATCTCCCCTCCTCCATCTCCGGAGGTAAGTTACATTGTACATGTCCATGTCATATTTTAATATCTGTCAGTTGAAAAAACGGTTTCATACTTCATCAGCACTCTTGCAATGAGGCTTGGCCAATCAGATTAGAGGACCAGAAGTAAATGTTTGTTTAATGGAAAGAAGGTAGTTTGCAAATAACATAGACATTTAGGTTACAAATTATATACATTATATTATTTAACTTTGGGGTCAGTAAGATTTTTCAATGTTTTTGAAGTCTCTTATGCTCACCAAGGCTGCATTTATTTGAATAAAAATACAGCAAAAACTTTAATTTTTAAATTATTTAAAGTAACTGTTTTCTATTTTTTATATATTTTAAAATGTAATTTATTCCTGTGATCAAAGCTGCATTTTCAGCATCATTACTCCAGTCTTCAGTGTCACATGATCCTTCAGAAATCATTCTAATATGCTGATTTGCTGCTCAAGAAATATTTCTTATTATTATCAATGTTGAAAACAGTTGTGCTGCTTAATATTTTTGTAGAAACCATAATACGTATTTGTTCTATGATGAACAAAAAGTAAAAAAGAGCAGCATTTATTTGAAATTTAAATATTTTGCAACATTAGTTGCAAGACAAAAAGTCTTTTGACTTTTGATCAATTTATTATGTCCTTGCTGAATAAAGAGTCTGATTTATATTTAAAAAACTCTCTGACCCCGAATGTTTAAATGGTTGTATAAAATGTAAAACGTTAATTAAAATAGTCCTGTAATATTGTTGTGACCAATTAACTTTTTTTTTTTTATTCTCTCAATATGAGTTCATGTACAGTATGTACAATAATTCAAAAATGAGAAAAATTTTGTTTAAAATAGCTTTAAAAAAGTCAAGCGCTGCCTGCCACCACTTAAAATGTTACTTCCCAAGATTTAATAGAAGTTACATTTTTAAATATTGTATATTTTATTACCATTTTGACTGAATTATGCTCAAGGTTTTACATATAGTACAATACATATAGCACAGATATATAAATCTAGCAAAATATATGAAGGAAAATTTGGAATCCCCCCTCTCTAAGTTTTTGAATGAAAACACTTGTTAACATCAGACCTGAATTCTAAAAACCCAGTGTTGAAGTCATAATCCACCAGAGGCCTTGCATCACAGCTATTTTACCATGTTCAAGGATCAAACTATCTATTTTATAATCTCCTTTAGAGTCTCTCTGCATTATTCTTAATCACACAGACCTTCTAAATGTAATTCCAGAACAGTCTATCAAAGGATGTCTATCAAAGGGATTGGTCAGAGCCCAAGTCATCAGGCAGCTCGTCTCCGGCCTCCACACAGCTGAGTAAAAGCATCACCGTCAGCACAAAAGTCCCACACCAGCAACAGCACTTCCACAGGCCAGGTTAGGTACTACAGCACCACACAGCCAACAAACCTTAGTCAACATCAAACTCTAAAACTAAACAAAGCAACCTCACTTTTCCTCCCAGACAATGGAAACAATATATACAAGAAGCCACCAATATATAAGCAAGGTATGAAACATCAACACTGTTCTTGTGTAATGGTGCAATTCTGTGGCATTCTGAGCATGTGTCTGTGTATTTGAATGGATGCAGATGTCTCAGCAGCCGTTCCACACAGTAAACACATGGAGGATTTAATCATCGAGTCATCAAAGTTTCCCGCCGCACAACCTCCAGACCCCAACCAGCCCTCTAAGATAGAGATGGACTACTGGCCCTGCCCTCCCTCACTAGCTGTTATAGGTATTGCACTCTCACGTTGTCCACATGATCACAACCTGCTGTAAACAATCTGCTACATGCATTCTGTCATTGGATTGATAGTTCTGTCATGACAACTCTCGGAGGGATTGGCATGGTAATGTACATGACAATGTTAATGTATTTGGTCTTGGCGGAATAGATCTGCTACTCTGCTGTGGCAGAGCAAGTACAGAGACTTGTTACTGACAATACAGCCACAGATATGCTGCTGTGAGCATGTAAGAAATACTGCTGCTGCACATATAACATATATGAAATAACCCCGATGTAACATACATGAAATTACCCCGTAGTAGATCTATACAGGTGGAGCTGGGGAAGGTGGAGGGTTTCTGAAGCAAGCTGCAACTGCTACTGCCAGCACTAATCATATATTTGAATGTTGAGCAGCGAGATCATTGGCTACCGATACAGGAGAGAACCAATCAGCTGTGCCATGTGACAATGATGTCATTAGGTCAGAATTAGTTAGACCTATTGGACTGCGCCATCTAGAGTTTCATGCCAGAACTCTGTATTTCATACAGTACATCCACTGTAAACATCCACCTTCATGTCATGGTTCACTTGTCTTTTTTGCTGTGAAATATTTACTGATTTTTATAAAGTAAACATTAGAATAACTTTTATATTGTTAGTAATATTTCAAGATGAACATTTACTGGACTGAAGCAGCTTAGGTTTACTTGATCTTTTTTTTTTTAGGAAAATCGTGTTAAAATGTGAGTATCAAATATGATCCATCAGGATTTTGAGCATTTTTATTTGTTCCATCTTGTCAAACATCATTGTATTGCATTGTATTGTATGTTTTGATCCCAAAAATGATGATAAAAAGCATTTTAATATCATCTTACTAAGACATTATTAGAAGATATAGACTGACAACTCACATTTATGTGCATTTCATGTAAGTAGTCTGCTATACTGTTATAAAGATCTCATTGATTTACATTACAAGCATCAGAATTACTTTCTGGTCATATAAATATCAACATCTGTATCAAACATTTTTTGCTCAGTTTTGGCCCTCTGAATAAAACTGATGTGTTTTTCCTCCTCAAGCTTGACTTCCATATTCTCACTATATTGTACTATATAAGCCATAAAAGCCTGATGTATCAAATAAGAAACTCAACAAAAAGATTATTATTATTATATTTTTTTAAATTTGTCTAAAAGTTCAATAAACTGTTCCTTTGAGCTTTCCTATGAAAAGAGCAATACAATTTCCCCCTGGGCAGTAATGAATTTAGCTAGATGCTAACATTAACAGCACATGCAAATGTAAGCAGCATTTAGTATCAAGGCACAATTTTATGATGTGGTAGTCTTGACACAGTTGTTCATCGACTTTTTACACTCTTCGTCTCACAGTCATGTGTTTGTACCACAGAGAAAGAGCGAAGGAAGAACGTGGCATCCAAGATGCCTGAGGGAGAGGAGGGTGAGGAGGATGATAAGTATGATGACAGTGATCTGTCTGAAGACATGTGGAGACTTCGGCAAATGCAGAAAATGCAGAAAAATGAATTTAGCTAGATGCTAACATTAACAGCACATGCAAATGTAAGCAGCATTTAGTATCAAGGCACAATTTTATGATGTGGTAGTCTTGACACAGTTGTTCATCGACTTTTTACACTCTTCGTCTCACAGTCATGTGTTTGTACCACAGAGAAAGAGCGAAGGAAGAACGTGGCATCCAAGATGCCTGAGGGAGAGGAGGGTGAGGAGGATGATAAGTATGATGACAGTGATCTGTCTGAAGACATGTGGAGACTTCGGCAAATGCAGAAACAAGAGCTCAACAAGGTGTTTATCCATAAAATTTTCATATCTGTAAACTTAGATGTGTCAAGCAGTTTTAAACTTTTTTTAAATAGCACTTTCCTAATTCTTGTATTATTATTTAAAGGGGTCATATGATGCTGCTAAAACGAACATTATTTTGTGTATTTGGTGTAATGAAATGTGTATAAAGAATATCTCTTTGGGTTTGATACTTTAGTCTTTGCAACTTTAGGGATCTTATCTATGCACAAACAGCTTGTAACACTCCAAAGAGAAAGGAAAATTTTAAATTGCATCATATAACCCCTTTAAAGATATTAATAATTTTACTCTGCATCAAATAAATCAAAAGTGACAGTAAAGACATTTATAAAGTATCAAAAAAAATTATAATAAATGCATTTTTTTCAAATCAAAGAATCTTGTTTAAAAAAGTATCACATTTTCCACCCAAAAAATGTGAAAGCATTACTGTTTTCAGCATTTCAACGTAATATTTCTTGAGCAGCAAATCTGCATATTAGAATGATTTCTGAAGGATCACGGGACACTGAAGACTGGAGTAATGATGCTGAAAATTCAGCTTTGAAACCATCACTAAAATAAATTACTCATATTTTAAATTATTTTAAAGTTAAGTTATTTTAAAATATATCAAAATTGAAATTTGTTATTTTAAACTATTTAACTAATACCGAATACACTATATTTAAATTTTAAGCTTAACATTTTTACTTTTCTCCTTTTCTAACTGTTCTTCTTAAACCTTATTTTCTTCAGAAACCGAGGTTAAAGGTTTATTGGGTTTGCTCTTATTTGTGAGATTTTTTGTCTCGCTCGACCTTCAAGTGAAGGCCACAGTTGGTTTCAAATAAAGGACAAACCTTCAGGGATTCTTGCATTTCATGTCGAAACGGAGCCAAGCTGATCAATTCAGACTCTTAGCCTGAGTATAATGTTTCAGTGTCCACCTCACCCCTCAAACTCCCTCTTCACCTCTCGTTCTCTCTCTTCATCACAGATTCAATCCAATCTAGGAAAACTGATACTGAAGGAGGAGATTGAGAGATCGGCCCCTGTCCGAAGGAAAACACGGTCTCTTCCTGACAGGACACACATGCATCTGGGTACATTTCAATAACTACGTTTACATGGACATCAGTAATCTAATTATTTACCTTATTCTAAATAAGCCAATATTATGATTATGGTGTTTACATGAGTTGCTTTTAGAATATTCCTTTCATGTTCCTGTTTTACATGTTTTAATACATAGATCGATTAATGGCACACATCATTACGTCCCACGTGACGCCATCCGACGTCCCCTCCAGAATTTCACGTTTAAAATGATTAAGGTGTTTACATGTCTATTCTGCACTTCAGCAATGCGACTAAAATAGGAATACTCCACATGTCTTAATTCGATTTGTGTTTACTTCGAATATGACTTTAGCCGGACACAGAGTAGCATTATAACAGAACTTTCAAATGTATCTAGTATGATAAAACAGCGCTGCTTTACCCCACATACGCACAACCAGAAGGAGCGGAAGCGGTCGACTGTGGCATAATAAAAGCTCCGCTACTTTCGAGACGCGTGTCGCTCTCGTTCAGCGGCCTCGTTTCGCTTCGACGGCTTTCAGCCTCACCATGCTTCATTCTACTACGTTAATAAATCATTAGCTCATCCATGAACATGATTTCTGCCCGAGTCCCGTCAGATTGCATCGGCTGTGGGGATGAAGACCACAACTCCCATGATTCCACACTCAGTGTCATCAAACTACGCCTTTGTCACTTTGTTTATTTTGAATATGCGCCCTCCAGCGGCGAAAATTACATATTGTGCCTTTAAGGTAATCAAAAATCTCTGTTTACATGGTAGATTCTTAATCAGAGTATTGTCTTAATCGTATTCAAATCGGGAGTATTGTTGTCCATATAAATGTACTCAATGTTTTTGTGTGTGTGCATGTGCTTGTGTGGTCGTCACTGTGTGGTTGTGATTTTCACAAAACTGTCTGATTAGGAGAAACACAACAGAAAGATACACAGAGATATGCAGCATTACTGACAGCAGCTGTTTTATGTACTGGACATCTGAGTCGGTCTTTCCACCTGCAGTCAGAGCTTATGCATGGCAGACTAATAATCTGAATCAGATTAGTGTTTATAGGTCTCTAGGGTAAAGTTCAGAGTCTAGAGAACTCAATTTGAACCATTTTGATTATTGCATTATACTCTGTATCCTTTTTCACTGAAAATGGATGTGATTCCAATTAAACACAAAAGCCGGTTGACCTTGTACTTACAGTGGCCCCTTCTGGTTGAAGATATGTGCTGCATCCATATGATACACATCCCTAATAGACAACATGTTGACTTCAGCATCATTACTTGAATGCTATTTGTGCCAGTACATTAACATGTTTCTTCATTTCTTTTACACAGCCTCCAAATCCCCCTCATTTCCTTCCTACTCTAAGACTGGCCTGACTAGGGTGAGAAACTGAAATCTGTTTTGATATGTCAGCTTTGTGAGGTCCATCCATAATTACACTGATTTAATTAGTCTGGTCTGTTACAGCTCCAGTCTGCAGAGTTCTCCTCTTCAAACAGTGATAAAGGGAGTCAAAGTAAGTGTGGGGATTATTACATTTGTATTCTATTCTATTTATACTACAAAGAGTTCCAGTATTAAGAGTCATAATTCTATTCTATTCTAATAGTAGAGTAATTTTTGTCACGTTTATTTTTACGACAATCAGAGTTCCAGAATTAAGAGCCATTATTCTATTCTATTCTGTTCTAAATAGTAATTTACAGTGCCAGTATTGTTTTGCTGTTCATTTTAGATATTTAACATTTAATCAGAGTATGTTCAAGTATCGAGAGCACAGATCTCAGAGTTCCAGAATTAAGAGCCATTATTCTATTCTATTCTAATAGTAGTCATTTTTGTCATGTTTATTTCTACTACAATCAGAGTTCCAGAATTAAGAGCCATTATTCTATTCTATTCTGTTCTAAATAGTAATTTACAGTGCCAGTATTGTTTTGCTGTTCATTTTAGATATTTAACATTTAATCAGAGTATGTTCAAGTATCGAGAGCACAGATCTCAATTCTGTTCTATTCTAATAGTAATTTTTGTCTTGTTTATTTTTACTATAATCAGATTTTCAGTATTAAGAGCCATAATACTGTTCTATTCTACTCTATTCTATTCTATTCTATTCTATTCTATTCTAAATAGTAATTTAGAATCCCAGTATTGTTTCACTGTTCATTTTAGATCATGTTTATTTAACATTTAATCAGAGTATGTTCAAGTATTGAGAGCACAGATCTCTATTCTGTTCTATTCTAATAGTAATTTTTGTCATGTTTATTTTTACTACAATCAGAGTTCCAGTATTAAGAGCCATAATTCTGTCTGTTCTATTCTATTTTATTCCATTCTATTCAAGTACCGAGTCATTATTTTATTGTATTGTTTTGTTGTAATCTATTCTCAACTTTTTAAATGAATATAAATCGAATTTAATTAAATAGGACAGATCTTTGTCATGTTTTATACCTGCTCATTGTATTATTATTTGTTTTTCTCTCTTTTTACAGATTTCCAGGTATGTAAGTTTACATTAAAATAAATATGTTCTTAACAGATGAACAGAATTAATTAATTCATTTTGTAGACACTTTTATTCAAACAAACTTACAAGTGAGGACTACTATAATACAAACCATTCATTATATGTAGACAATAGCAGTATTAGCATTTCAAGTCAAGCTTTTCAGCCTTCAATCTCAGCAGTTTTCTAGCATTTTACAATTAGATTTTCCTAATAACTGCACAGTTGTGTTTTGTGGTCTTACAGTGGTCTTCTCTCTTTTATAGAATGGAGATGCCCAAAGCAGAAGGATTGACAGAGGGAATTCACTCCCTAGTATGCTGGAACAAAAGGTAAAGTAAACATATCATCTGCCAACTAGTTAAGATTATTTTGTGTTCATCCAAGTTTCATTCAAACTTCATTAATATTGCATGTTTTTGCACAATCTATGTGTTCGTTTGGCAGATTTACCCATATGAGATGCTCATTGTGACTCACCGAGGCAGAAACAAACTCCCTCCGAGTGTAGACAGGACAAGACTGGAGGTAGACATCGCTTTCGCTCATTGTTTTACCCTGTTGCACTGTTCTGCTGGGAAACGTTGACCACATAACCTCTCTCTCCAGAGGCACCTGTCACCTGAGGAATTCCAGAATGTCTTTGGAATGTCCATAGAGGAATTCGACCGGCTCTCCCTTTGGAAGCGGAACGACCTGAAAAAGAAAGTCTCTCTCTTCTAGTAGTCAGAGAAATACGTTCTTTTACAAACACTGTCACGTGTCTGCACTTCCGCTTGTGAAAACAGTACAGGCGATACAAGTGAAGGAAAGATGAGGAATGTGATGAGGAATGTGATTTTGGAGCCAGCAAAAACAAACAAAAAAAAAACAGTTATCCTTATCGTTTGATAAGCCCCATATCTTATTGCAGCTAACAATCATATCCGAGTCTATGATGTTGTCTCTTTTTCTAGTTGCAGCTACTATATCAGGACTTCATTGAGGTTACCAAGTCCTCTTCTGTGTGTGCTTAGTAAAGCTATAATGATATACACAGATATGAATGCTATGAATACACATGAAGCAGATATGAATCGAACCAGTTATTTCAGCAGACCAAATCCCTGCAAAAAATTCTGACGTCCAGATGGACCAACAGGAGTTAAAGTCACTGCCACAGTTTTCAGCCTTTATGTGCTAAGCATGAATTAACAAACCTTTAGAATATGGGTCAATGGCATTTTTTTTGTCCAGATTTATTAATTTGTTAAAAATAGATTTAAAAATGCTATTTATACATACAAAGACTTGAATACACCTCTTCTATGATGAGCATGATTTTAATTTGAGTTAAAATGCAGAATAAAATTCATGAAAATCCATACAAATGTCAGGGTGAAACAACTGTCCTGATATAAAGACAAAAAAAAAATGAAATTCTTGAAAAGAAAATCTTGTGAAGTAGTTCATTAGATTATCTTTTATTATTATTCTTTACAAAAATGTCTAATATGTTAACAAAACTGCTTCAGTGTTTTTATATATATA